AGGACCCTGGGATCATGACCTGAGCTGAAGGCAGACGCTTAACGCCTGAGCTACCCAGGCGTCCCGGCATATTTTTAATAGTTGTGATATTTTGTACAAGTTCTATTTCTTTTTTTAAAAACAGCTTTACTCAGATTACCATTAGAGTCATCAATTTTAAATGAATAGTTCAACAAATGTTAGGAAATTTATACACTTGTACAGCTGTCACCACAATCTAGTTTTAGAACACTTTAATCAGCCCTGAAATTTCCCTTCTGCCTGTTTGGGGTCAATCCCCATTCCCCACTCAAGCCCTAGGCAACCACTAGAACTGTTTTCTGTCTCTGTAATTTTACTTTTTCTAGACATTTCATGTAAGTGGAATTCTACAATATGTAGTTCTTTATGTCTGGCTACTTTCCCTTTCCTTGTGGTTCATTTATGTTGTGGCATGTATTAGTAGTTTGATCTTTTATAAACAATTCAGTGGCATTTACTACATTCACAATGTTGGTACAATTATCACCTCTATCCAGTTCCAAAACTCTATCACTCCAAAAGGAAACCCTTATTTCTTGCTTTTTAGTTTAAAACTTAGTTCATAAATACTTTGATAGGTTTTTAAAGCCTGTTAAAAAATACAAATATAGCAGTAAAACAAATATACCAGTAAATATACTGTTTTGTTCAACTGATGATAGCTAATATAGTTGTTTCCTTTTTATTTTGATGACTATCTCTGCGTAATCTTTATTTCTTAGTTAGGTTGCGCTTTACTGGAAATCTAATATTTAACAAAATCTCACTGCTCTAGTGCATTTTTTACCTGATAGCCTGTATAAGTAAGAATTAAAAGTGAAACAAAAAGACTGGACAAAACAAAGGATAAAAAATAAGGGTGCAAAGTGTACCTTTGGATGACATATTTACCATGTAGAAATTACACAATTATGAAAGTGTCCTGAGATTGTTGAGTGTGAAAGTGTTAGATATACAGAAGCATAAAACAAAGTTTATAAACATTATTGGTGGACTGGTGCTCGTTGTCATACTGTGTCTTTACCGGAAAGCACAAATGAACTTCTGTGGATGTGAAATGCTTTAAGACCTATCTGTTCCTTTTTCTTTTGGTCAACATGAAGAATTGAAGAATAGTAATTTGCCATTTTTCAAATATTAAAGGTAATGCTCCTGAGCTTTAAATTATTTTCTCAGAATACAAGGATTTGGGCTTCTCTAAATTTGATCACTCATTGCTGCTTTTCCTGGAATAGTCCACTGTAGCCAGGTATCGGAATCGGTTAAGTGTTTTATTGCTATAGTTTCTATGTACTGTTAGGCTTTTGAAGCCAATAATTTTGATTAGTCTTATTTATTTTATTAGGTGGCCATTTCCTGTAGAGAGAATTTGCAAGTAAAAAAAATGGTGGACTGGTAGATCTTTTTTTTAAACCCTGGTTAGGCTAAACTCTGAAACAGGTTTCTGTTAGCACTGGAAGAGGTCAACTTTATCCAGTTGGATTTTTCTTTATTAGTAAAATGTTAGAAGGACTTCAGAACGGCCACAATCCTAAATAGAGAATATCTTCTAAAAGTTAAAAATTTCTAGAACTTAACTTTTTATTTAAATGTGAAATTAAATAGCTTTTTGCTCTTACTGAAGTAAAAATATCTGTGCTCTATTTCCTCAAGTAAAACTTTATATGTGTGAAATATGAGTAAAGTCAGTTTTTTGTGTTTTTTTTTGTTTTTTTTTTTTTAAATAATTCCTCAGACACATAGTGGATCTGTGTGGCGTGTGACATGGGCCCATCCTGAATTTGGACAGGTTTTGGCTTCTTGTTCTTTTGACCGAACAGCTGCTGTGTGGGAAGAAATAGTAGGAGAATCAAATGATAAACTTCGAGGACAGAGTCATTGGGTGAGACATTTGTTGGTTTTCAGGGGTTGGGAGGATAGAATGGGGAGAGGGGTGTGTGAGAATCTGAGGAGCATCAGTCTTTCCAGGAATGCTTCAGGCACTTGATAAGATGTTACCACTCCTCTCTACATTTACTAGTTCCATTTTTTCTCTTCCATGTTTTTCTCCTACTTGTTTATTTAATTTTGTCTTGGGCCTGAAGTGGTACTGAGGAGCACTTGTGGCATTGTTTAATTATAACTTTCATGATGAATCTGTAGTATTTGTTTTGTCATACAGTTGAGTGCCCTCTAAAAATCCATTAAAAAATTGTTTTTTCTCTTTTGTGGTTACCTTTGTTTTCCTATAAAATATACTCGGGTGCCTGGGTGGCTCAGTTGGTTAGGCGACTGCCTTCGGCTCAGGTCATGATCCTGGAGTCCCAGGATCGAGTCCCGCATCGGGCTCCCTGCTCGGCAGGGAGTCTGCTTCTCTCTCTGAACCTCCCTCCTCTCATGCTCTCTATCTCATTCTCTCTCTCAAATAAAAAAAAAAAAAAAATACTCTTATCTGCTTCTGCTATTTACTCTAGCTCTTCCCTGATTGGATGTTCGAATTTTATTTATTTATTTTTTTAAAGATTTTATTTATTTATTTGACAGAGAGAGACACAGTGAGAGAGGGAACACAGGCAGGGGGAGTGGGAGAGGGAGAAGCAGGCTTCCCACTGAGCAGGGTGCCCAATATGGGGCTCGATCCCAGGACCCTGGGATCATGACCTGAGCCGAAGGCTGACGCTTAACGACTGAGCCACCCAGGTACCCCTGGATGTTCGAATTTTAAAAAGAGTATAGTGTGTGTACTGGTCAAGTTCCTTGTTTATAAAGTGAGAGAATTGAACTAGATTACCTCTAAGACCCATTCCAATGTTTTCTTTTTTTCCTCTTTATTTCTTGTAATAGATAATCAGGTACAAGGTATAAAATGCAGAAGGTACAAATGGGTGTATACAGTGACAACTTCCTCCTCTTTGGCCACACAGTTTGTTTCCTAGAGGCAACCACCATTATGAATTTTTTCTGTATTCTTCATATAGTTTATGCCTTTTTAAGGATATAAATACAGTGTTTTCTTTTCTGTTGCTAACAGTCCTCTTCACCTTTCTTACAACACTAATGCTTGTATGTTGTCAATACTGCTCTTTCTTTCTGCTGCATTTTATAAATTATAGATTATACATAACATATTTATCATGTTAACTGTAAGTGTACAGTTCAATAGCATTAATTACATTTACAGTGCTGTGTATACATCACCAGTATCTATATTAAAACTTCATCATTCCCAGTATAAGTTCTTTACCATTAAATAGTACCTCCTCCTTCCATTCTCTCAACCCCTGGTAACCTCTATTCTACTTTCTGTCAATTTGACTGTTCTAGTATTTGTCCTTTGTCTGGCTTATTTCACTAAGCAAAATGTTTTCAAGGTCCATCCATGTTGTCACATTTACCAGTTTCATTCCTATTATGGCTGAGTAACATTCCATTGTGTGTATATCCCACATTTTGTTTATCCATTTATCTGTAGATAGACAGTTGGGTTGTCCCTGCCTTTTAGCTATTGTAAATAATGCTGTAACTGAACTCAAGGGATTTGCCATTGGGGTGCATCAAATTGAACACAACCCAAGAAAGCAAAACACTTTTTATTAGGAGACAAGGAGATAGTTTCCAAAGCACTGTCTTGCATGGGGTTAGTACAGGAAGCTTTTATTCAGTGTATAGGGGGCAGGGACAGGGAGCTTGCATAAATACTTCAGTTCAATTGCACATGCCTAGCATGTCAACATGGTAGTGTGTACATCGGTGTTCAAAAAATGGTGGAAAACTCTGCCCATAGAAGATCGTAATATAATGAGCCAGAGGTTAGGGGCTTTTGTGCGTGTCCTCAGCTCCAGTACAGCTCAGAGTGGGGGTCTCCTTGGCTGGAACTGTTGGTTCTCCAAAACAAAATATATTCCTTCCCTGCTCTTGTCTCTTCCCCTCTTCCCCTTTGCTGATAGCTTTCAGCTTTTTTTTTTCTTTCAGCCTTCTTATTTGAGTAACTTCCCCATTGCATCCTAGCTAGCCAACATTGCTACTATGAACATTATTGTATAGATAACCTGTTTGAGATCTTGGGTTCAGTTCTTTTGGGTATGTACCTAGGAGTAGAATTGCTGGCTCATATGGTAGTTCTGTGTTTAACTTTTGAGAAACTACTAAATTACTTTCCAGAATGGCTGTACCATTTTACATTCCCACCAGCAATGCACGAGTGTTCCAGTTTCTCCACGTCCTCACCAATGTTTGCAGTTTTTGTTTTTCCATTGTAGCTTTCTTAGTAGGTGTGATATGGTATCTCTTTGTGGAGGTTTTTTTTGTTTGTTTTTGCATTTCCCTAATGGTTTATGATGTTGAACATCTTTTTATGTGCTAATTGGCCATTTATATATCTTTTTGCAATGTTTTGATTTATAAGAAATATATTTTTCATATGTATTTGGTCTTCCTAACACAGTTCCTGACTTAGAGATCCCAGAACTGTTGGAATTTTCTAAATGTTGAAAGTGATAAAGGCATCTTTTGTTATGTTAGGTGACTTTTGGAAAGTGCCTAAGAATGGGGGCTGGTTGCCAATGGGGCCAACCATGTGATTAGAGGGCTGGAACTTTCAGTCCCACCCCCTGACCTCTGGGGAGGGGAGAGGGGCTGGAGGTTGAATCATTCACTAATGGCCAGTGTGTTACTCCATCATGCCTATGTAATGAAGTCTCAATAAAAACCCCAGAGAACATAGGTTCACAGGGTTTTGGGGTGGGTGAACATGTGGAGATGCGGGGAGAGTGGTAGACCTGAAGAGGGCATAGAAGCTCCTCATGCTTTTCCCCTTACTTTACAATTTGCATCTCTTCATCTGGCTATTTCTGAGTTATATCCTTTTATAATAAATGGGTATCTATTAAGCAGACTGCCTGTCTGTGTTTTGAGAGCTGTTTAAGTTGCTGAAGTGTGGGAAGTCTTACAGGATTGAGCCCTTAACCTGTGGAATCTGATGCTATTTCTTGGTAGATAGCGTCAGAATTGAGTTGAATTCTCAGACAGCCTGCTGTTACGTGAGAATTATTTGTTGGGGGTTATCCCCCCTCCAACACCCCCTGAATTGGAATTGGTACCAGAGTCCTTTACTTTTTTAGGGAAATGTCTATTGAAGTCCTTTGCCCATTTTTTAAATTGGGTTGTTTGGGTTTTTTGCTGTTGAGTTGTATATAGTTCTTTATATCCTGGATATTAGTACCTTCTCAGGTATATGATTTGCACATATTTTCTCCCATTCTGTGAGTTGCCTTTTCTCTCTCATGACAGTATCCTTTGATGCACAAAATTTAAGAATTTTCATGAAGTCCAATTTATTTTTTTATTTCCTGTGTTTTTGATGTCATATTCAAGAAATCATGGCCAAATCCAATGTCAAAAAGACTTTCCCCAAAGTTTTATATTAAGAGTATTAAATTGTAGCTTTTTTTTTTTTTAAGATTTTATTTATTTATTTGACAGAAAGAGACAGATGGAGTAACGCATTGGCCATTAGTGGGAGAGGGAGAGGGAGAAACAGGCTCCCTGCTGAGCAAGGAGCCTGATGTGGGACTCGGATCCCAGGACCCTGGGATCATGACCTGAGTCGAAGGCTGACACCTAACCAACTGAGCCCACTCAGGCATCCCTAAAATTTTAGCTCTTACATTTAGGTTTTTTGTTCATTTTTACTTAAGTTTTGTATATGGTATAAAGTAAGTGTACAACTTTTTTTTTTTCTTTTTTAAATAATCTCTACCCCCAATGCACAAACTCATGACCCTGAGATCAAGAGTCACATGCTCTACCAACTGAGCCAGCCGGGTGCTTCCAACTTCATTCTGTCATATGTTAATGCCCAGTTTTCCCAGTATCTTTTTTTTTTTTTAATTAACATGTAATGTATTATTTGTTTCAGGGGTACAGGTCTGTGATTCATCAGTCTTACAGAATACACAGTGTTCACCATAACACATACCCTCCCCCGGTATCTGGTATCTTTTATTGGAATGACTGCTCTTTGTAGAGGCCGCTTTTAGACAACAGGCTTGAGCAATGGAATGTAAAGCAAGGTGAATACAAACAGGCCCATAAAGGCCACCCACCTCAAAATATCCATAGGCCCTAACTAACCAATGGGCTACTTACAACCTGGCACAGTTACCATAAAAGGGAGAATTCCAGAAGTCCCCATACTTCCTCATCTTCCTCCTTTAAATACAGCCTCCACCTTGTCGTGGAGGACACTCCCTTGTCGTGTATTCGATAAATATCTACCTCCTTTGTTCTGCCTCTGGTGAATCCTTTTACTGCCCGTTTTTCAGGCTTCTACCCAATTGGGTTGCCCCACATATGGGGGCCCCCATCCAGTCGGGAGAGACACCACACCCTTTCCCCTTTGAATGGTCTTGGCATCCTCATTGAAAATCAGTTGACCAGATATAGAGAGAGGGTTTATTTCTGGACTGTATTTTGTTCCATTGGCCTATGTGTCTCTCCTTAATGCCATTATCATATTCTTTTAATTATTCTACAGTTGTAGCTTGCATGCTATTCACAGTTCTACAGTTTTTTTAAAGATTGATTGATTGAAGTAATCTCTACACCCAATGTGGGGCTCTAACTCACAACCCTGAGAACTAGAGTTGCCAGTCACGTGCCCTTAAAATTTTTTTTTAACGTTGGGAGGGGTTGGTCTCGTTTTTTTCCTAGGGCCTCCCTAAGGCAAACAACTGCTTGAGGGGAGAAAGAAGGGAAATGTATATAATTGGAGGGAGTTTTCTAACAGTCAGAGATGGGTCAATTAGTATACTGTAGGTTGGGTTGAGGAGTAGTGGCAAAGAAAGGATTTTTATTTGAACTTAGAGATAAAGGTTTTTCCCCCGTTATATGAACATAGAGCATTCTTAGGAAAACTTTCGTAAGCTGAAATGGAATAAAGTAGAGAATCAGTTACCATTAACTTACATGGAAGAATTTTTGAGTGTTCCTGAACCAAAAAATAACCTCTTTTAGGCTTTTCTGATGCCTTCGGACACATTTTGCTAATGTTTGCACAACATAAATCAAGAGAAAGCACAGATACTTGAAGACACAGTTCAAAGCTGTTGAGGCTTGATGCTGAGATGCTGTGTAGGTCCCAGGGAAGGAGCTGGGTGGTGCCATTCTTATATATGAGGGTGCTTGCTGCCTCTCTAATGACTTGCAAAACAAATGATGAATGCTATTTTCTCTTGTCGTAAAAGCAAAAATCCTCTTCAGATTTCTTTTGGTTAGTGAGAAAGGTACTAAAGTAAAAGCAAAGTGGCATAACATAAACCTTTGGAAAGCAGGGGATATCTGCATATTTATTTGTATTTAGTTAAATCAACTGCCATTAATACATTTACTATTTCAGCAATTGTATTGGTATTGATTATGCAATGGTGTTTATAGACAAATGTTTGCAAGGATGCAGTCCTTGGAGTTTATGTGATATTCTTCTCATATTGAGACTCCTTAAGATGTATTTTAGTAATTATAGACAGTAAAGTACTGATTTCTAAATTTGGTTGATATTTTCAGTCAGAAATCTAGATGCCAGAAAGTAGCTTGAATGTGCTCTGGTGGCGTTCTGTAATTATCACAATGCCAGCTTTGTACCATTCTCTTGGTCTCTAGTAAACGCCTTCTCTTCAAGTGGATGGTGGTGATCCAAGTAGGGCTAACTGGCATTTATGTTTGGAGAAGTTGCGTGCTTTCCATTGTACTATTAAAGACTCTTAATTCATTTAATTTACTGCTCGCAGCATAGTTTGTGAGACAAAACTACCTATATTAAAATTCGAACACTTTCTAGTTTAGTGACTGGTCTGCTTAAGGGAGAGTCCTTACTCTTAATAAAGTTAGACTTTCTAAGGCAAACTTTTTTCTACCTTAAAGGGAATGATTAATTATAGGTCACTGATTTATTACGGATTGCCAACTGTGTATGTGGTATTTTGCTGTGGAGGAAATACAGACCCAGGTGGTTTTAAAATAATTTATTCAAGATTATATACCTAGTAAAATGGCAGTGTGATTTTAGAGCTGATGTTCTTTCCACTCCACCATCTTTTCTTTTTGTATATAAATAATTTTTTTTTTCAGGTTAAGAGGACAACTCTAGTGGATAGCAGAACATCCGTTACCGATGTGAAATTTGCTCCTAAGCACATGGGTCTTATGTTAGCAACCTGTTCGGCAGATGGTATAGTAAGAATATATGAGGCGCCAGATGTTATGAATCTCAGCCAGTGGTCTCTGCAGCATGAGATTTCATGTAAGCTAAGCTGTAGTTGTATTTCTTGGAACCCTTCAAGGTAAGCTTACACAGAAAACCTGATAATATAATCTTAGTAAAACAAATTAGTAATTTTGTTTTTTAAGATTTTATTCATTTATTAGAGAGAGAGACAGCGAGAGAGGGAACACAATCAGGGGGAGTGGGAGAGGGAGAAGCAGGCTTCCTGCCAAGCAGGGAGCCCGATGCGGGGCTCGATCCCTGGACCCTGGGATCATGACCTGAGCCGAAGGCTGACGCTTAACGACTGAGCCACCCAGGCGCCCCCAAATTAGTAATTTTTAAGCTAAGCATTTGATGGTTTAATTTCCTTAAAACATTTTTCGTAGCCATGTTTATTATTTTTAAAAAATACATGTTATGTAGAATAAAAATTCTCCTTCATCTGCCCTCACCTGTCATGTCTCTTGTCCCCTATTTTTATTCCATAGAAGAAGCCAGCCATTGTAAATATTTGGGTGTGCAACTTCTGGGCTTTTTCCGTGTATATACAAATAAATATTTAATATGTTTTTAAATATACAAATATATGCCAACACACAGGTATACTATCACGTAAAGGTAGATGCAGAACACACAGATATGTATAGACATATATTCTCCTTACTTGAAATTTGCCTTTTTCATTGACAAATACATTGTGGGTGTTTTCCAGTGTATTAGTATATATATCTAGTCTTGCCTAATTTTTTTAACTGCTGTATAGTGTGACTCTGACTATATCATAGTTGCTTTTTTCTTTTTTAAAAGGATTTTATTTATTAGAGAGAGCACGAGCGGGTGGGAGGGTCAGAGGGAGGAAGAAGCAGGGAGCCTGATGGGATCAATCCCAGGACCTTGGAATCACAACCTGAGCCACCAAGGTGCCCCTCATAGTTGCTTTCTATTAGATTATTTTTTTAAATTAAAAGAATAATGAATCACTTGGTAGAGAAAAAATTTCAGGGGCACCTGGGTGAGTCACCCTCCCCCACCATGGTCTTGCTTTTTCTCTCAAATAAATATAATCTTAGAAAAGAAAAAAAAGGAAAAATTTCACATCTAGAAGAGTACAAAATGAAAGGTAAAAGGTTCCCCTACTAAAGAGCTAAAAATGCTCTTAATAATTCTGATTTTAGATTTTAATTCTGCTAGTTGCTATTGTATTTTTATTTGTTTTTATTTTTTTAAGGATTTTACTTTTAAGTAATCTCTACACCCAGCATGGGGCTTGAACACAGCTCCAAAATCAAGAGTCGCATGCTCTTCCAACGGAGCCAGCCAGGCACCCCAGTTACTATTACATTTATAAATGATTTACTTATGCCTCTGGTTCTTGCTGTGTTAGCTTTAAACAGTACCTATACTTACTATACAAAAGATGAATTTAGCACATTTACAAAGCTTTCCATTTCTCAAGGTATGACTAGATAGATATCTTTTTTTTTTTAAGATTTTATTTATTTATTTGAGAGAGAGAGAATGAGAGAGAGAACATGAGAGGGGGGAGGGTCAGAGGGAGAAGCAGATTCCCTGCCGAGCAGGGAGCCCGACGTGGGACTCGATCCAGGGACTCCAGGATCATGACCTAAGCCAAAGGCAGTCACCCAACCAACTGAGCCACCCAGGCGCCCCCTTTTTTTTTTTTGTAAGATTTTAAGGAATCTCCAAACCCAACATGGAGGTCGAACTTAAAACCCTGAGGTCAAGAGTCCCATGCTCCGCTGTCTGAGCCAGCCAGATAGAGAGATCTTATTTGTGGGAATGTTGATGATGGTTTTTTAGTTATATTGGTAATTATCATAATTTCAAATGATATGTTCATTTTCTACTAAGTGATTTATCAATTTTTAGATTAGATATGGACTTACCTCTTTTTTTTTAAAAAAAGGAAATTAGCTTATTTTGCTTCTACCTCCCATTCACCTATTTTCTAATATTTTGTTACGTTGCTTTTAACTGGCAAGGGGACAACTGTGTATTTCACTCCTTGGGGAGATAAGGGATTAGTTTCCCATGAGCCTTTGATCACATTTTTGTCAACTGATAAATACTTAACCTTGTTTTATGAGTGTTTTTGTTTAAAGATACCTTATTTAGCATATGTTGCTGATTCATTAACATTGAACTCCGCCAACAGCATTAAAACTCATGCCTGAACAAAGCTTATCTAATACAGTATTTTCTCCGTAAGGCACATCATAGCCTTCTTGCTAAACTTAGAAACACTAGATTGCATTTCAGTACCACATTTGGGGACCATTTTAAACAGTGAAATCACCAACACAAAGCACAAAAATGCAAAAAGCAGGGTGGTAAATAGAGTGCAACACTTGTTATCAGTGTGAGAGCTCAAATAAGAAGGCAGAACCTCACCTTGTTTGACCTCAGCATGGAACATGTGGGTCAGATGACTCATTTTTTGCAGAGCTGCTCCAGGCATGTTCATGAGTGACCGTGAAAGCCCCAAGTATTGGATTTTGGGGGTTACAAACAAATTTTAGTAAGCAGGCCAGTTTACAAATAAAGAATCTGCAAATGATGAGGATCGGCTGTATCTACTTTCTCAGAGTTCCGTTTGTATACCTTGGTCTTTATTCTCATCATGCATCTTGGTGTCCTTGTGTGTTAGTCTTTTCTATCTTTTTGTGGTTATAAATAAGAGAGTAGTATTTATGGCTAGTAACCGGTATTGGTATTTCTTTCCTGTCAGGTGCTCTGTTTTCTTAGTAGCTCACTCTCTTACCTAGGGCTTGGCTGAGTTTTAGCTGAGTAGGTGGAGTGTGTTGGCAGAATTTCCTTGTAGGGAGTATAAACCAAGGGAACCAAGGGAACCAAGGGAACTGGCAGGCTGGGGTACCCCTGAATTGCAGGAGGACTTGATTTTGGGAATGGAGCACCTTAATTTTTGTTTCCTCTTGTTCCTCTCTCTGCCAGTTTTAGAGTGCTAGTAAAGCTTTAGTAATAAAGAACTAACTCTTTCTTTTTTTTAAACCTTTTTTAAAAATTACTACATTCTGTTTTTAGCTTTATGAGGTTGGCAGATGACAAGGTCAGAGGTTAAACAAGGGGTCATATTCATAGGGATATTACTTAATGTGGATGAGGGAGGCAAAGGAAATCAATGTTGGAATAATTAGGCATAGAAATAAAAATAATAATTTAACCTAGAGTTCACTCTCTTATAACTTATCTTTTGCCTTTTTAAAAATGAAGTTGACCACAAATGAATCTAGAAAAGAGAATGACGTGTGGGGAGTATACTTTTTGTACAAAGCACTTAAAATCCTTTTTTTTTTTTTTAAGATTTTATTTATTTATTTGACAGACAAGCGAGAGAGGGAATACAAGCAGGGGGAATGGGAGAGGGAGAAGCAGGTTTCCCGCCGAGCAGGGAGCCCGATGTGGGGCTCAATCCCAGGACCGTAGGATCATGACCTGAGCTGAAGGCAGATGCTTAACGACTGAGCCACCCAGGAGCTCTGCACTTAAAATTCCTTTTGCCATGAATTGGTCACCGTAGGATTACTTTTTATTTCATAGTTAATGACCAAATCTTTCAGGAAGAAAAATTCTAAGACCTCTTGGTTGTCTTTTTTTTTTTTAATCTACTGAATGCTTGAAACCTTTTGGGAAAAGAGCTACTTTTTTTATTTAAAGATTTTTTATTTAGAGAGAGCACGCGAGAGATTGTGCACGAGCAGGGCAGGGACAGGGAGAAGGAGAGAGAGAATCTCAAGCAGACTCTGATGAGTGCAGAGCCCAACATGGGGGCTCGATCTCATGACCCGGGCCAAAATTATGAGTCGGTTGCTTAACCAACTGAGTTATCAGACACCCCAAGAATTACTGTCTATTAGCAAAAGGATGGTATCATTTGTCCCCATGTTGAGCATTCTCAAGGACATACCCTCTCAAGGTGTGGCTGTTTCAGATGTATGGCAGGGATCTAGTCATGGTAGTGGCATGCTTATTTGTGGGTTGTATAGCTACTTGATGCCAGGTTTTTCTAATTCTCTGAATTAAATGTATATTAACTTGATAGTTATGTAAAATAGTTTTCACTCTTCATTTCTAGCTCTCGTGCTCATTCCCCTATGATAGCTGTAGGAAGTGATGACAGTAGTCCAAATGCAATGGCCAAGGTTCAGATTTTCGAATATAATGAAAATACCAGGTTAGTACTGCTTTGGTTTTAATTATTGTTCCAGATTGCATTTAATTTTTAAAAATGTTATTTCTTCATTGGTTCATTGAATTATGCATGATTCATTACACATTTACTAATTTCCTATGCTATGCCAAGTTCTGTGCGAGGCTCTGATAATATAAAATTAAATGGTATAGAGGAGAAGGTAACTGATTTTCTAGTATGTACCATCTTGCTGGGAAAACAAAACAAAAGTGGTAAAAAGTGGTGATGAATTTTATAAACTGGGAGAATCAGGATGTTAAGGGTTTACTATACTTGGGTGGAGAGGGCCAGGAATTTTCACTCCAGACAAGACTTAGAGGATGAGTAAAGGTTAGCCAAAGAGGGCAAAACGTTCCAGATCGAGAAAACTACATATGATAAGGTAAGTGAACAAGAGAGAACCTATATATATATATATATTTTTTTTTTTTTTTTTAATTTTATTTATTTATGAGACAGAGACAGCGAGAGCAGGAACACAAGCAGGGGAAGTAGGAGAGGGAGAAGCAGGCTTCCCGCTGAGCAGGGAGCCTGATGTGGGACTCGATCCCAGGACTCCGGGATCATGACCTGAGCCGAAGGCAGCTGCTTAACAACTGAGCCACCCAGGCGCTCTGAACCAATATATTTTTATTGTAGTTGAAATATAATAGGCAAAAAGGAGTGTGGTGAGAAATAAACAAAGCTTAGATCTGTAAGACCTAGTGTTCCATGTTTAGAAATTATTTTATGGGTAATGTGAAGCCACTGAAAGATTTTTAAGTTGGGGAATGATAGGCTTGGATGGTAGTTCAACTCTTCCATAGGTGTGGAACGTATTTTCGAGGGCAGCAGTCCAGGTGGGAGATTATAGCGGCTTTGGGATAGAGTAGTGGCAATGGGGATGGAGAGAAGTGGGCAATTGGAGAATAATTTAAGAAATGGTATCAATAGGATCTGATGACTGAATGTGAAGAATGGGGGAGAAGCAATTGAGATGATTTTCAAGCTTCTGGCTTAATAGTTCAATGGATGGAATGTAATTTCTTGAAATAAGGACATCTGGAAAGAAGACGGATTTGGGTAGAGTGTAGCACCACATGATGGAAAATTTATGTTGGGTCATGCTGAGATACCTGCAACACCTCTGAGAGCTGTAAAGAGGTGTACTCAGAGTCTCAGAGGACAAAAGAGCAACCACCAATTAATTAGGTGGGCTTCACATGTGCTAGACAGCAATCTTGGGTCTAGGAGTCAGATATTAGGCAGGGCCGGAAGCAGAAGAGAAGAACTATAGTCGTCCCCCTTATTTGTAGGGGATATGTTCCAAGACCCCAGTGGCTGCCTGAAACCTAAAATAGTATCAAACTGTATATACTATATTTTTTTCTATACATACATACCTGTGATAAAGTTTTGAGTTAGGCAAAGTATGAGATTTATAATAGTAGCTAGTAATAACAAAAGAATTGCAATAATACACTTTAAATAAAAGTTATATGAACTTTCTCAAAATATCTTATTATGTTGTACCCACCCTTCTTCCTGTGATGATGTGAGATGATAAGATGCCTACGTGATGAGATGGAGTGAGGGGAGTGATGGAGGCATTTGACATAGTGTTAGGCTACTGCTGACCTTCTGACGATACATCAGGAGGATCATCTTCTGGATGGCAGTTTGATCGTGGGTAACAAACCGTGGGAAGTAAGACTGGCTAAGGGGGGACCACTGTATTTTAATTCCTTGGGGCTCTGCAATTCAGAATGTTTTTGAGGGGTTCTTATTACTAGCCCTCTAACTTCCCAGATTCTTGATTTCTTCAGAGTCTCTGTACACAGTGCTGTCCAGTAGAAATTGCTGTGCTGATGGAAATGCCCTGTGCCTGTGCCAGCTACTGTAGTGGCCACCAGCCACATGCAGCTGTGGAAGCTTAAAATGTGCTACTACAGCTGGACTGCATTTGTTCATTTTTATAAATTTAAATTTAAATTTTAGGCGCATGTGGCTAGTGGCTGCAATATTGGCCAGCATAGTTCTAGATTATAGGAACCTTCCTCTAGAACTTTTTGTGGTTTTTGTAACCTTTTAAGCTATTAAAACTATCTACAACATTAATAGCACATTGTTTTTTTATAAACATTTTTTTTTTTAAGATTTTATTTTTTTATTTGTCAGAGAGAGCACAAGCAGGAGGAGTGGCAGGCAGAGGGAGAAGTAGGCTCCCTGCTGAGCGGGGAGCCCGATGCAGGACTTGATCCCAGGACCCTGGGATCATGACCTGAGCTGAAGGCAGCTGCTTAACCAACTGAGCTACCCAGGCATCCCTAAACATTTTTTTTTTTTTTTTAAGATTGTATTTATTAATTCATGAGAGGCAGAGGGAGAAGCAGGCTACCCATGGAGCAATGGAGCAGGGGAGCCCAATACGGGACGCGATCCTAGGACCCTGGGATCATGATCTGAGCCGAAGGCAGACACCTAACCAACTAAGCCACCCAGATGCCCTATAAACATTCTGAAATTTTTAATCTAAATTGTTTTTTCATTAGGAAATATGCAAAAGCTGAAACCCTCATGACAGTCACAGATCCTGTACACGACATTGCCTTTGCTCCAAACTTGGGAAGATCTTTCCATATTCTAGCAATAGCAACCAAAGATGTGAGGATTTTTACATTAAAGCCTGTGAGGTGAGTTTTTGAAGCACTTAATAATTTAAAAATGCTCTTAACTCATGATTATTTTCATTTGTGGAGAAGAGTGATGAGGCAACTGTGATCTGAAGAATGGCTTCTTCATTGAACATTTTATCTATAAATATATGCGTTTTGGGGTTGGGGAATTGAATAAAGACAGGAGACTTACGTTTTCTTTTTTTTTAGATTTTATTTATTTATTTGAGAGAGAGCACATGAGAGGGGGGAGGGTCAGAGGGAGAAGCAGACTCCCTGCTCAGCAGGGAGCCCGATGCAGGACTCGATCCCGGGACTCCAGGATCATGACCTGAGCCGAAGGCAGTCGCTTAACCAACTGAGCCGCCCAGGCGCCCTTACGTTTTCTTAATGGCGTTTTCTTTAGGCTGATATGATGAATTGGATCCTCTGAATATAATTGGTACTCTGTAAATGTTTGAACAAACGAGAGGTGGTAGTTTACTTAGGGACAGTTAACTTAGCACTGAGACATTCTTGTGAATAACCTATTCAGGCTTTAATTTTGGAATTGTGAGTTTCAGTTCTTTTCCTTTTTTCCTTCCTTTCCCCCTTCTATTCTTCCCTTCCTACTGCTTTCCTTTTAAAATTAATTTATGTATTTTATTTCTCAATCTTGTTTGGGGGAATACAATCCTTTTGGTTTTCTTTTCTTTTCTTTTTTGAGAGAGACTGGGTGGGGGGGCCCGGAGGAGCAGAGGGAGAGGGGGAGAGAGAATCTTAAGCAGGCTCCATGCCCAGCTCACAGTAGACACGGGGCTTGATCTTACAACCCTGAGATCATGACTAGAGTCAGACGCTTAACCGACTGAGCCACCCAGGTGCCCCTGTTGTTCCTTTCTTCCATGAAATAATCACTGAATAATTTTTATGTGGTAGGATCATGCCAGGTGCTGGGGAGTCAAATGAAAGTGACATGGCCCAGCTCTCAATGAATTAAGGTGGGGGGGGTGTGGGAAGGAAGGTGGTGGTTATGGATATGCACATTTTTATAAAATAATATGGTAAGTATGTGAGACCATTTGTATTTTTTAAATTAGAACTCTGTGTGTGTGTTTCTGTGTGTGTATGTGTGTGTGTGTAAAATCTTTAATCAGCATTTCTCAGGAAGATTTTTTTATTAATAGGAAAGAACTTACTTCTTCTGGTGGGCCCACAAAATTTGAAATCCATATAGTGGCTCAGTTTGATAATCATAATTCCCAGGTCTGGCGAGTGAGTTGGAATATAACAGGAACAGTGCTAGCATCTTCAGGAGATGATGGCTGTGTAAGATTGTGGAAAGGTAAGATTTTAATGAAGGAATTGTTGCTCTGTGTTGCTATGTCAGAATTTTCACTTAGAAATGTAAATTCAGAAATATTTTGGAGAAAATTACCTTTCTACAGTTACTTTTACATTAATGTCTTAACATTAATTTGTGTTATTTTGAACCTCCATCAGTTTATCTAGTTCATGGCAGTTATGACTGATTGAATTGTTTGATTCCATGTGGAGCAAAGCAATTTTTAAAACTAAAAGTAATTGTAACAGAATATGCAGTATCTCCAAAAGATACCGTTTGCTATATATGTAACCTTTGTGACTGCTCTAAAACTCAGGATAGGACTACAGACATCTCATATTAAATAATTGCTTTAGCCAACCAGCCCTTAATAGGAGAAAATCCAGTATCTTCCCCACTTCCTCTCTGCAACTCTCAGAAGTTGAATCTTCTGGCCACTGATTCTGAAAGTTTCTTGTAAGTGCCATGCTGGCTGAGAATTCAGTCTAGTAACTCGATGCTGACTGTGGTTCCTGCAGCATGGTCTGCATTTGTCCATGGACGTTTATCCACTGGGCAGAGGTGTCCTTGGTCCTTGTACCACTCTAGTTGGTGGCATCCCACAGTTAGGATCCAGACTTACAACTTAGTTGGTGTACCCTGAGCAGTTACTGTTACTCTAAATGCAGTTTGGCTGAGTCTCCTGTAGTCAGTTTTAGCTGTGGTAGAACCAGCCCAGACCTCAATTTCCTCAATGTCATTTGGTATCAAGGGCTTTGCTTCCTTTTCATGCGCCTGGGCTTTAGTCAGGACCACCCAGTTCCACCCCAGCAGGCTCCCTAACTTGAGTTTCCTGGGCCCAGTGTCTCCAGTGATCTATTTGGCATTCAAAGAATTAGGCCATGTTGGGTAGGCCACTCAAACCCCAAAGGTTTATTACTTGCATCGATCTCTGAGGACATTAGGTACCCACATGACCTATACTTGCATAACTGAGAAGACAACTCCATTACCCTACATATGCATGTAATTGAAATTAATTATCATGAAGGTGAAGAATTTATTTTGATACTAATGTTAATGTGGTAAATTAGAGAATTGTCTTTATTAATAATTATCTTGTAAGGAAAGGGAATGGTAAAAATTTTATGTTTTTTAAATTAATTCTTGTAAAACTTTACAAAATAATTGTTAAAATTGAGATATATGTCTTTCATTTTAAATATGTCTATAACCTATATCTTGAGAGAAATGTAGTCTTCTTTTTTTAATTGTACTAAAGGACTTGACCACAAATTTGTGCCCTTGAGCATAGCTATTAGTCATGTTAATGTATTTGACCATTTTCTTTTCAGCTAATTATATGGACAATTGGAAGTGTACTGGTATTTTGAAAGGTAATGGGAGCCCTGTCAATGGGAATTCTCAGCAGGGAAACTCAAATCCTTCCCTAGGTTCAAATATCCCAAATCTTCAAAATTCATTAAATGGATCTTCTTCTGGCAGGTAGGCTGTTTTGTGGGAAAACTAGAAATTACCTCCTTTTTAAATCATTCTGGTAGCCGTACTAAAGGTGTGTGATTTCATGGGTTTTAAGATTGAATGAAGAAATTCATACTTAAGTATATAGTAGAAAAAATTCACTTTGTTAGCACTGTATTTAGCTTACATGGTCATATTTATAGATAGATTGTTAAGCCCTTGAACTAAATTATATTCTGAAATATAGTGGTCTGTCAGAAATATAACTTTAAGATTTTACTTTGCTTCTAAAGTGAGATGAAGAGGAAATCTGGGATAATGCTGAGGATTTTAGTCCTAGATGAGCATAAGTATGTTAGTGGTAGTAGTGCAGCCTTTGAATCAGGTCAAGCTGAAATTTTAAACTGCATTAACTAAGGCTTCATAGAAGAGAGTGAGTTAGATGTGTTTTTTGTGTGTGTGTTTTAAAACTTTAATGGAGATTGTAAGAGGAAATGGTAAATTCTGATTTCTTGATTTTTTAGAATTTTTAACATATTTAAATTCTTGTTTATCTTAATAAACAATGTTTGATATGACCTCAAGAGTCATCCTTTTGTTTTTATATTCAAATTTCAAATATGTGAATTTGTGAGATAAACTTATTTTAATATGCCTTTGTGAGTAATTTGGAATGCAATTCAGGAAACTTCAAAGCACAGCCTTAAAAAATTGTCCTGTGGTTATCCTGTTGTCATCTTAAATAACAGAATTCTATTTAAAATTTCAACTATTTTTATATTGTTATATTTTTATATAAAAAAAAAATCCTGCTGTTTAATTTTGAGCTTTAAGTATTTACATGAAAACAATTTCAGGTTACCACAGAAGATACCAGATTATAAAGACGATTTCATGAAACAGAGGATACTACTGTTAATTAAAAAAAAAATCTGGTTTTTGGTTGCTGTCTGTACTGCATATATTATAAACAGCTTTGAAGTTTTGATCTGTATTCTTATTGTGCCAATAACCATGTGTGTTAGATCTGTGATGCATTTTCCCTTCTCCATTTGTATTATGTCCTTTAACAGAAAGCACAGCTGAGTACCAGCTAACTGGAGTAACTTTGCTGTTTTGCTGCTTGTTGCATGCACACAGGAATGGAAAGCGAGCTCCTTTTCCCCTTCCCCAGCGCCGTTTGACCTCTCCCAAGATACACCAGCAGCCTGCTTACTACTAAACGCAATCCAAAAGGCCTTTAAAAATCCAGTGTATTTCATTTTTTTTTGTACTAGCCAGTTTATTGACACTATTTGAAGCTTTTGAAATATAAATGGAGAGGCTTTTTGTTGAGACGTTGTCACCAAATCAATTTTTTGAAATGTTCCTGAAATTAACATGGGTTTTAAAATTAAAAGGATTGTTATTATCCTTATAAGTAGTTGGGAGGAGGGAAAATGTCACTTTATTCCATTTGGAGAACATAGGCTTATTTCTTTTGTTTTCTAAACAGTAAGCTAAAATGATGAATTTTTATAATTTTAATTTGAAGGTTGAATAAATATTTTTCATAAAGATTGTTTTGAGTGCTAATTTGTTTACCTTTTGTAGAATTGGTTTACACATGATATTATTTAGTGCAACTCTGTCATTTCTTTGTAATATTTAAAAAATATTAGTAAAGGAGTGAGAGAAGTAGTAGTAAAATGAAAGTGATTTGACTGTACAGTTTGTGGCCAAATTAAACATTTGGTATTGCTTCATTTTATAATTTGGTAGTAAAATGAAGACATCTTTGTAAATTTTCAATTCATATTCACTAAAGAGCTTAACGTTTCTAATATGTGCTTGTATTTTTTTTATGGTATGATTCCATGGCTTAAATTTTTCTTCAAAATTTGGAAACCTACTGTAAGAGGAGCAGTTAAAAATTTGCTAAAATTGTGCATGCACATTAACCTCTACATTCCAAGTCTCAGGAATTTAATTTAGTTGGCTGCCTCATTTAGTTCATACTCTCTAGAACTTTGACCTTAATGATAAAGCTATAAGTCTTTGCTAAAATGCTTAAGTATTACGGGTAAGTTACAAAATGGCAGAAGAATAACAACAGGACATACTCTTTGAGCTCTTTTACTTAACAAAATTTTGTACTATTTAAGGTTTTTGCAGAAAAGCACCTAAGTATTTTCAAAGGTCGTATTTCTTCAGAAGTATATTGCAGTAGCTGGCCATACTATATGACAGTATATTTGGATTGGTTCTCAGTGTCATGTATGCACTAAAAAACGTGTGCCTGCTGCTACTTCAAACGAAGCATTGCTTAAAATAAAGAAAAAGCTTATGAGATTTGTAAATTTACAGGATAGCATCAGATATGTTTCTGGAAGATTAGAAAATGTTTTAAATTATAAAATGTCTTTTTTTGTAACATTCATACTGGTAATTTTTTTTTTAACATTTTAAGTTTAACAGATTGTATTTCTTTCTTTCAAGTTTCTATACTTGCTTAAGCAAGCTTGATTTGAGTAAGGGTCTTGATTTTTGCGATTATGTTCTGTTAGTTTTGGCATGAATATACTAAAGCTTTTTTTTTCAGCATGTGTTTTCTCCTCTTTGGTTCTCTTTGTATTTACTACTTTTCTCTTTTTCTTCTGTTTTTTCTTTTTTTTTTTTTTTTCTGTTGTTTTTGTTTTGTTTTGGTGTTTTGTTCCTGTCTTCATTGTTTCAGGTATTTCTTTCCCCCTCTGGATTCCCCACGGGCTGGATCGAGATGGTCCAGTTATGCCCAGCTCCTTCCTCCTCCTCCTCCTCCTCTGGTAGAGCACTCTTGCGATGCTGACACTGCCAACCTCCAGTATCCTCACCCTCGCAGACGATCTCTCTCTCGGCCTCTTAATCCCTTACCTGAGAATGAAGGGGTTTAAAACACTGATTTAACACTTAAAGGCCTTATTCAAGTGCTTGTAAATGCTTTCATTCCTGGCTGCTTTTTGTTTTTCTTCATTTTCTTTTAGAAGATTTTTCTAATTTAGGGTCTGTCTTGCATGTATTACAACCAGAACACAGTGTTTGGAACCTAAATGTGTTTGTGCTTCTGCATCAAAGGAACATTTGCCTCACTGGTTGATAACCTTTGATGAAATGAGATAAGTACAAGTAACACAAACTGTGAGTTATAGTAGCTGATTTCAATTTCAAAGTGCCTATTCTATTAAGTTTTATTTTGAACTGTTACGATGTTAATTTTCTTATGGTTTGTCATTCTGGTTGATGTGAAAGGATTATCATAAAGTACACTTTGCCTTTGAGACATTAAGAAATGTTTTACATTTTACAGGCTAATGTTGGAACCAACTAGTTTGTAAAATAAATCATTCCTGTGTATAAAGCAGCAAAACATAATAATGGACTGTTGGGTCTTTTTTAAAAAAAAAAAAAAAAGAAAAGAAATTGCCTTTTACTACTTGGAATTACTGTTTAAAGCTTTTGTAATTATTGTCCAAGTAGATTATTTAATAAAATATATTTTAAAAGATACGAATCTCTTGCCTTATGAAAACAGAATGTACAGCTGGCCCTTGAACAACATGGGTTTGAACTGCACTGGCCCACTTATACATAGGTTTTTTTTTTTTTTCCTCTTCAATAAATGCAGTACAGTACTGTAAATGTAGTTTCTCTTCCTTATGATTTTCTTAATATTTTCTCAAGCATACTTTATTGTAAGAAAACATTATATAGTTTGTATAACATGCAAAATAGGTGTTAATTGACTTTAAAGTCTGGTAAAGCTTCTAGGCAACAATAGGCTCTTAGTTAAGTGTTTTGGGAGTCCAAGGTTAGACTCAAGGTTTTCAGCTATGTGGGTTCATTGGCACCCTAACCCCTAGTTGTTCAAGAGTCAGCTATATTCTATTTGTTAGATGGTAAAGCTTCTATCTCCCTATAATACTATGTTGCAAAAAAAAGAAAAAACCCAAACAATTAAAAAATTAGGAGATGAGCATGACATTTATTTAAAAGGTAAAAAGTCAGTGTTTAGATTAACATTTATAACTGACAGATGTTGACTTCCGGTCTCGTTACACATTATATTATTTTTTTAATGATACTTTTAAAATTTGAAATCAGAAAATAATTGACAATAATTATGGTGATTAAAACTATGAGACTAGTAATATTCTTTTTAGTTCAGTTTTCTCAAGAATTGCCAAGGATTTAACTTTCTTTAGGACTAGAGAAGGTGTAATTTGAAAAGCATTTCATATGTGTCTCAGTTAATCGCATGTAGTTACAGTTGTTATAACCATGTAATTTGTAATCTAATTTTCAAAGATACCTTTCCTATGTATAGTGTCATACCCTTGAAACTTCTTAACATGCAAAGGATAAAGAGCTAATAAGAGATTAATTTTTTTGAGATTAATTTTAACTTAAGGAACATTTGAGTTTTGTTGTGACTAATTAAAATGTCTTGTCTATAAAGTTAGCATTTTAGCATTTCAATTTATGAAGAAGAATCTTTTCCAAATAATTCTCAAAGGTCTTCCTTCTGGTAAAGGACTTGTTTTACACTTGTTGGCTTGTTTAGGTTCAAAGCAAGGGGTCTAACTTAAGGCTGAATCTAGTTCAGAATTAAAAATTCATGTCTTTGAGATTTCAATCATTATAGAGGTGCTTGGGGTTAGAATGGGATAATGAAATGAGACAGAGTCTCCAATTTAATGAATATTGAGCATCTTCTATGTGCCAGATACTATGCTAAACACTCTGGGATATGTAAGAAGAAGAAGAAGAAAAAAGAAAGGTAGTCTGCACAGAAAGTCATTCTAGTGGGAGAAGACTTGTACAGAATTTACAAAAGGTAACCAGGATTCAGTTTCATAATAAAGGTTGAAACAGAAAGTGATTTATTTGATCTGACCAGGTTTGGAAGCCATGTGGGATTTCAACAGGTGGAGTAGTTGAAGCAGAGGAGGGTAGGAGTTCCAAGGTGATGGCCCAGAGGTAAAAGAGGACAGGGGTGTAATAAGGCAACAGGTAATAAGCATTAGTCTGATGTAAGAAGGTTCATTTGGGGAGCTGGTAGGAGATTAATCTAGAATCAAACTTCGTGGTCACATTGTGTGCGACTTTGTGTATCTGTGGCTTAGGTTTGCCACTTAAAGCAGTTGGTAAAGGAGAACTGTGGGAGATGATTGCCTTTTCTTAACTGGATAGACATCACTTCTAATTCCCTGGGAGGCATCCCTAGCCCTGGGACTTCTGCAAGATCTACCCAGTGTCCTGGGTGATGGACATTAAGGAGGGCACGTGATATAATGAGCACTGGGTGTTATGTAAGACTGATGAATCACTGAACTCTACCTCCGAAACTAATAATGCATTATATGTTAATTAATTGAATTTGAAAACAAAAAAAAGGATCTACCCAATGTCTAAGGAGATTTGAAATTCATTGGGAGTTCTGTGCCTTTTTATTTGACAAGTTTTGATAACAGCTAATATTTGTTGAGTACATCCATGTGTCAGTGCTCTTCTAGATACTTTATGTGGATTAACTAATCCTCACAACAAACCTCTGAGGCAAGTGCTCTAAGTACGCCATTTTACATGTGAGGAGATTGGCAGGTTAAAGCTGTTTGCCCAAGGCTGCACAGCTAGGAAGTGAGAGCCAGGATTGAGATTTTGGCAGGCTGGCATCAGCCTGTGCTCTCCTGCTTGCAGATACTTTGGATCCTTGTCATTAGAGTTCCACCTGGTTGCTGGGTGTTGTGGGGAGAGCTTTGGCCACTTGATTTTTATGGAGGAAGGACATTTATTGAGTTGGGTATAAGGATATAGGGTGAATGAATACATTCCAGCAGTTTACCTCCAATGTATGCTCATGGTCTAGACAGAGAAGATACTTTGTGAAACAGGATTGCTCATTACACTCAAATAGCATCCTTTTAGTTCTAAAGCTAGTAGGTTTATTTTTCTGGATTCAGAAAACCTTGAGATTTTCTCCACTTATCTTTGTTCATTGAGTGTGGACAAAGGTAGAATAGGGGTAATTACAGTTTGCAAATGCCAAGCTGGAGGGTTTCAAGAAAAAATGCCAAGAGAATTGTAGAGACATCAACCGAGTTTGATGGGAGGCTAGTCCTGATAAAATAAGTGTTAAAATAATACTCAGGACCAAACCAGATAATCACAGGATGAATGACGACAAGGTGTAAAAGTGGAGGTGGTTAAGGGTAGGAGAAACAGAATGGTCTTAAGGTGACAGAATCAAGGAAGGGTGAATTGGTTTTGGTTTTGGGTGGAAAGATGCAGCATTTCTAAAGGCAGGAACCAGTAGAGAAGGTATCCAGGAATGATAGTTGAGCAGTATTTTAGAGGACATAGAAAAGTAAAGTGATCAAATAAACATGTCATTCCCCAACAGGCTAAAATTAGGAATAGGGACTGTTAAACTCAACTTTTTCATTTTCTCTATTCCCAAGTGTGCTGTTGCATCTTAAACATTAAATAACTTGCATGAATTAAGTTAGCTTTGGAAAAGAGGACTCTCTTTCAGACTGTATGGAGGAAGTTTTGAGATAAAGGAAAGTGAGAGGCACGAAATTGAATTACCTGTGGTTTCAGTAAAGTAGTTAAAGCACTGTGCTAAGCAGATGTCGGTGGTATTTGTGGCCTAAGGAGAACAGGAAAACGTGGGGAGTAATTAGGGATGAATTATGTCTCAGCTTTTTCCACCCCCGACCAGCCTTACTCCGTCACAAAGAGGCGATTAGGAGTAGAGAACTATCATGAAGCTTGGATCCTGAGAAATGATTTCCTAATTGAAGCTTTATTGCAGTGTATAACATAAGGCAAATTATGACACATTTCAGCGTCTGCCAAGCAGTGGTAGAAAAGATCTGCATCTGCTCTTGTAAAGACAAAAAAAGTGACAAACAGTACTAAACTCAGGGTAGTATCAGATGACTTGTTCACCGGAAATGTTGTATAAGGTAAGTGACGATGTTTTGGGGTTCCAGACTGAATACGGTAAGCAGTTTTTTTTTTTCCAGTTGGCCAAGGCTTTCATTGCGTTACCTTCGGTTCAGCTTTAGAGGGAAGGACTTTCGCAGTGCGCCCCACCCTTCCCAATACTGAGCTCCTCCTCCGGACCTGCGGAGCGCGGCTTCCTCGTTTCAAATTCAGGGACTAACCGTCCTCGCCCAATCATCGGCCTCCTGCCCGCCCCGTCCCTTGTCGCTATCCAATCCAAGGCCAGCTCCGAGTCCCCGCCCTGTTGCTCGTGCCGCGAACGGACGTAAACCCCAGGGGCGCGCTGTACGGCCAGTCCGGTGGCCGCGGGTGTGGGGGCGCGCCTTGCGCACGCGCATTTGCAGAGCCACCGGGACGCCCGCTCCTCTGGATCTTTTTGACGAACTCTTCGGCTCCCGCAGCTGGAGTCGCGGGCTTGGTGAGGAGGGGATTCCTGTGTCTTGACCGCGGTTCGGCAGGGGGCACGCGAACCCGCTTTCGGCAGGCTTTTCGGCTGCCGGGCGGATTGGGCAGTAGCGGTTGGGCCGGGGTCGGGCGCAGGGCGCAGGCTCCGGGCGGGGGGCTGCGGGGCGCTGCCTAGGGTCCGACGGCCTTGCTCCGTCCGCCCCTTCGTACTCAGCCCGACCGTCACGCAGAATTCCGCTCAGTGAGTTCAGTTGGGCGTCTCTGAGAGATTGACTTTTAAAGAAACAGGTTTTGAATTTGGGGATCACATCCTGGTATCCCCCCACCCTCTTCCACTTGGTGACTTCTAGGGACCAGCGCACTCTGCGCTTTGGAGTTTCTTGTTGCAAAGCGCTCTTGACCGGGTGTTTGCTTCATGTGTGTTGTGATAGGCGGTTCTGTTTCTCCTTTTTGTCCAAAAATGACCCGCGAAGTAACGTTGTTAACTAAATATAGAGGGGTCTGCTAGTGTCACCCGGTTATTCACTTTTTGTTTTGGTTTCTGCTAGGCCGCGTTCACATTTACTCCCAGTACCTTTCTTACATTTCTTATATCTGATTTCTTTATGGGGGGAAAAAACACAAAAAAGCATGAATGAAGGCAATGTTTAATATCACTACACTTTTGATTTCTCTTAATTACAGACTTTGTTTACTAAAACATGAGGTCCCTTTTGAAGCAGTCGTTTGGAGAACAGATGTTTTTATGAAAGTATTTCCGTTTGCTGTTACCATATTGAGGTCATTCGACTGGAGTTTTTACTGCTCCAAAATCAGTTTTTTCAACGAATTCCAGTTTTGTGATCAAAGTTTACGGTAAGCTTTGAAAAGTAATATATTAAATGCATACCTAATTACAGATTTTTCTTAGAACACCAAGAGTAAATGATGAATGTTAGGGAAGCTTGACAGCATATGCTTTTGAATGTGTACGTGTAGGCTGCCAAATAATGACTACAGTAAATGATATTTTATATATCTAGAAATATAATTAAAGCAGGTAAATACTAGTAAGTTCAAATGTGAAAATTTGAGGTTACTGCTTTAAGGAAATAGCAAGAGAGATCCCAAAGATGGCTACTTAGTTCAGACACAGTAAAAGAAACGGAAATGTTATATTCTCTTCATTTTAGGTGATGGAGGAGGGGTGGGTGGGCTATGCAATATTTAGGGAATTTTTCCTAGGAATGTGGTATGCCCATGGATGGTTTAAACAAGTGTAATCCTTTTGGAAACGATAGATCAGGTATTGGATTACATCTCCAGGGACCTTCCACTGGCTTGTATTACCACTGCGCCCATAGCCAAGCTCCATCCCAGGACTTAACACTGTCATAATTGATAGGGGTCATAATTGATTATAATTGATGAGGGTCATCCGCTCCGTGAAGGGGAGCTGCTTTATTTTTACATTTCCAGTGGTAAGTAGAATGTGTTTCATGGTTTGCGCTTGGTAATGATTGTTGCATGAATGATATTTGCTTAATATCTGAATTTTCTTGGATTTGACTCTAAATAGGGATAAATCTTTAAAGAATTTGGGATACATTTTAATGTGGTTTACATGTCTGTAAATTAATGAACAAACTTAGTGATTGGATGTGGGGAGGCTACTTGAAAGACTTATGTAATGGTTTAGATTAAAGTGATAAGGTGTTGGGAATATAGAAGTGAATCTCAGTTCCAGAGATCTGTTTGGAGTTAGAGGCATTAGAATTTGATAACTGAGAGAACAAGAGAAATGGTGCCAAGTGTCTGGCTTGTATAGCAAGAGAATAGGGATAACACAGGTCAAACTAAAGGTAATAGAATGGGTAGAGAAAAGATAATAAGTTTGGTTTTGTATTTGTTAACTTTGCACCACTTGAGAGAGTGTTAGGGGTGAACCATTTGGAAATGGGAGTCTAAAGCTCAGGATAGAGGTCTGAGCTGAGGTGATTGGAAAATGAGGAAGATGGCATTAGTGCAAAGGAAAGACTACTCTGGGGCAGACTTGCCTGGCTCTGAATCCTCTGCTCCCACTTGTGCTTTGTGGCCTGGAAAATTCTCATAATTCCCTCTCTTGGCCTCAGTTTCTTCAATAGTAGGGATAATAGCTACCTTGCAGATTTGATGCAGGGATTAGAGAAGTGTATATAAAATACTTAGTGCATTATTTGAAAATAGAGTAGACACCATATGTCAGCTAGATAGCGAGGGAGTAGAGATTATTTCTTTCAACTTGTTTTTTTGTTCAATTCGTATTTCCAGCTCTATATCAATTACTGGGACTGTATGGGTGAACAAGATTGAAATGTCCCCAAGATACTGATACTCTAAAGTCAAAGATGGTGGGGCCCCTGGGGTGGCTCAGTCGGTTAAGTGTCTGCCTCTTGATCTCAGCTCAGATATTGATCTCAGGGTCATGAGTTTAAGCCCTACATTGGGCTCCACACTGGGCATGGAGCCTACTTAAAAAAAAGAGAGCGAGAGAAATAAATCAAAGTCATTAATGTTTCCTTAAAAAAGTTAAAAAGTCAAAGATGTTGTTATTCACTCATTTCATAAATATTTCATAAATATGTGTTAGGCATTATTATAGGTGTTAGGTAAGAGTGATGGAAAGATTGGCAAGGCCTGTGCTCTCAGAGAGCAATCTTTTTAGTGGGGGAAGAGAAATACAAAAATAGTGATAGGTGCTGGAAGAAATTTAAAAAATTGTGAGAGACTGTGGGGCTACATTTGATTAATGATGAGGAATCACCTCTTTTACAAGATGACATTTAAACTAAGGTGAATGCTAGGAAGGAGCCAGCTGGTGCAGAGATGTAGCGAGGACTCTAGGCCCCCAAGGTAGGGATGGGGCTTGGATGTTACAGGAACAGAGACACCAGTGTATGGTGAGTCATGAGCCTCAGGGGTGGAGGATGGGGTGGCTCCCTGAAGTTTTCAATAGGGGCGTGGTACCTGGTTTGTATTTAATGGTCCATTTGGTTGCCCTGTGGATATTTAACTGTAGGGTGGCAAGAATAGAAGCATGGAGACTGGTTGGGAGGCTTTTCAGTACAGTAGGGTGGTGATAGCAGACATAGAAAGATGTGGAATGATTTAGGGTGTGTTTGGGATATAGACCTGTTTTGCCCTTGGGAATGGGCTCCACCAGTAGATCTGTTTTATTTGTCAACAGTGTTTCTTACTGAATTGAAATGTGTTCACCTTGGGGTCTGTAACTTCTAGTTGATCTCAGCTTACAGTCCTGTTGTCTGACAGTATTAGTGCCTAGAAGCATTTGAGTTTGAGATCCCTACCTAAGAGTATAAGATGTACATTGCATGACAGAAGATCTGAGATCAGAATCCTGGGTATTCCTACCATGTAAGGAATAGATAGAGGAAGAAGATGTCATGTGAGCTATAGAAGTTATGATTTGGATTCTTCTAAGACACTTGGCTGTGAAGGGGAGGTAAGAAGGTGGTGGCGGGAAGCGCACATGAAGGATGGGAACAAATTTCCTACCTCCTCCATCCTAATATGGGATCGTTTTGAACATGTTTATAGAAATCAAGAAAAGCAAATAAAAATAGAAAAGAAAGGAAAATGCTGGGACATGATCTGAGAGAAGGGTGCTTGTATGATAGTTGATGCTAAATTTGCTATGTATTGACATAGTTTGAAGACATTCATTTATTCAACCAATTTATAGAGGATCTACTTTGGGCAAGGCACTGCTTTAGGTAAAAATTCAGGGGTAAAATAGGCCAAGTCCCTGCCCTCATGGAACTTACATTCTAATTTGTAGAAAAAACAGTTAAATAGGTGAATTATATAGCATGCTGGATGGTGGTCAGCACCACAGAAAAAAGAAAGAAGGGCAAGAAAATTGGAGTTGATGAGGAAAGTTGGTGAGGGAGACCAGCCAGGTAAGAGGACTTTTACCAAAATCCTGAAAAAAGTGGAAGACTAAGATGTGAGGTTATCTGGGGCATCAGTGTATTGGACAGAGGTTAGAGCCAGGGCCCAGTCCCTGAGCCCGGAGCCCTGGCAAGTTGTGGGGACAGCAGAGGTTAGGACAGTGAGGAGGGAGCAAGCAAGGGAGAAGAGTAGTAGAGAGTGAGAGCAGATTATTCAGCCCCTTGTTGGCCATTTTAAGTATTAACTTTTAGTCTGAATGAGATGGGAAACCAGTGGAGGGTTTTGAGCTAAGGAGTGACAATATTTGACTTAACGGGGATAATTTCAATGTGTGGAGAATAGGCTAGGGGAGGAAGAGTGGAGGTGTGGAGATAGTTGAAAGTATCTTGTAGTGAGTATCCAGGCAGGAGGTGGTGGTGGCTTGACCAAGGTGACAGCAGTGGAAGTAGTGAGAAAATGACAGGTTCTGGTTATATTGTTAGATAAAGACATTGGGATTTGCCTAGGGATTGCTTTTAAGGGGTGTGTGTGTGTGTGTGTGTGTGTGTGTGTGTTGGGGGTGGTGGTGAGTAATCACTTGAGGTTTTTGGTTTGAGCAGCTAGAGAATGGAGTTGTCATTTTCTCTGTGGGGAAGACTGAAAAGCAGGCTTTCTTGAGGGGGTTGGAAGGCGATGGAATCAAAATTCAGGTTTAGGTGCCTGTTAGATAAACTAAGTGGAAATGTCTAGTAGGTAGTTGCATATCTGAGGTTCAGGAGAAAGGCCCAGGCTGGAGATATAAATTTCATATTGTATTTAAAACTCTGAAACTGAGGGCAGTCACCCAGAGAGAGTGGGTAGGTGGAAGGGATCCAGGAGCAAGCCCTGATGCCTTCACAGTATGGAGGTCCAGGAGATAAGGAGGAACCAGCCAAGGAGAAGGAAAAGAAGCAGCTGGTGAGGTTGGAGAACCCAGACAGCTGTGTCTTGGAAACCAGTGAAGAAAGGATTTCTTAGAGGAAGGAGTACAATTCCCATATTGTTAGGTCAAGGAAGACGGGACTGAAAATTGACTGTGGGGCTATGGGGTTTGGCAACAGGGAGCTCAGTGGTGATTGACAAGTGTTTTGTTGGGGTGGTGGGACAAGAGCCAGCTTAGCATGGGTCCAGGAGATGACAGGAGTGGAATCACATGTCAGTAGTGATTCCTTTTGGAGGAGTGTGTGGTAAAGCAGTACCGCTACAGGGGGACAACAGGGTATGAGATAGGGGAAGACTTTTTTGAAAGATGAGGAACTAACAGCATGCTGGTGGGAATGGCTGCCCAGAGAAGATTTGACGACGGTTAGGAGGAGGGCGGTTGCTGGAGTGGTTGTCACTGCATTAGTGACAAGGGTGGGATCAAGTGCAGGTAGAGAGGTGAGCTTCCCACGGGAGCCTGGATACTTCACAGTCAAAAAAGTTTTATAGCTCTCTAAAGGTCTTAAACATTTTCAACTTTATAGAGTAATTAAGTTAGCCCATTCCCCCTAAAACCTATACTTGAGTGCATTTGTCATTGGCCCCAGCATAGTCCATCATTGTCCTCTATCTCACTAGTTGTGGTGGCTCTTTCAATATCCTGTCAGGTGTTAAGCCCTCTCCCTTCCTCTGCCAAGATCAGTGCTTCCCTGGACTGCAGAATACTGTTCATACTTCCTAATACACCTTTTAAGGCTTTTAGAATCAGACTCCATGGTTTCATTCACCATGTTTTTTTGTACACCGATTGCCAAAATACATTGAAGCACTTGGCTATTGCCACCACACACTTAGTACTTAGAGTGGATTTTGGAGTCAGACCTAGGTTTGAATTTTATTAATTGTGCAACCCTGGGTAAATTTAGCTAATTCTCAGTTTGTTTCTTCATAAAATGGGATGAATGAGTTAAGGTCATGGGTATGCAGTAAATCTTACTTCTCTTTCTCCTTTGCTCATGTTTATTTGTCATCTTTAAGAGCCCCCTCATGTCATACTTGGCCTATAAAAGTTCTACTAATTTTTCAAGGCACAGGGCCAGTACTTTCATTTATTGAGCCTTTCGTGATTTAATTTTTTTTACTGAATTCCATATAACCCTTACATGATAAACACTGAAATAATTTTGAGATTACATCTCCTAAGTACTGTAACCAGGGTTAAGTAGAACCAGTGGCCAATGTGGGCTGGAAGATCTCTCAGTAATACAGATTCTGTGCCAGTGTTTTCCAGAGTTAGTCCTTTGTGTACCACTTTCACCATTTTTGCCTTGTCCATGTGCCGGCTGTACTTGATTTAACTTAAAATTTTCCTTCAATGGACTTCCTTTTTAAACTAACATTTACTCATCCTTAAGAATAATTTCTGAAATCAGGGGCTAGATTTTGCTGGGTTAATTTTTTTTTTCTAGTCCATGTTAGAATGAGCACCTAACCAGTAGACTTTTAAGTACATCTGAGATCATCTGTATATTCCTTCAGTGTTGGGTCTTTGCTTCTTTACTAGATAAGTGTGGCAATTGATAGTCTTTGCTATAGTAAACCAAGAGTAAATTAAGCTGTGTTGTATTTTGTTATTATGTTAATTATAAAAAGGAAATTTGACATTTGTAGTCTCAGCTGTGAAGTAGCAAAGTATTCTGAGAATTACTTTACCTCCAAATGCTTGTTGATTTTATCCCCTTTGTGCTGTTCCAAGAACATGATTTTTCCCTAAGATTTATCAGTTTTCTAAGACTGATGAGACTTTTAATCACTTGAGAAGCTTTTATAGTAATACTTGATTTTTAAAAAAACTTTTATTGTTGCAGTGAGATGGAAGATTTCCGAGGAATAGCTGAAGAGTCATTTCCAAGCTTTTTAACCAATTCATTACTTGGTAATAGTGAGATTTTGAAAGATGTCACTCTTTCTTCAAATCTTGGCTTGCCTGTTGCTGTTTCAACACTTGCTAGAAATAGATCCAGTGCTGACAACAGGTAAGAACTGTTAGAACACATGATTTTTTTGTAAGGTCTAGAAAGCCTGCAATACCTTGATACTTCTGTAAAAATTTCTCAGCCAAGGGGCACCTGGATGACTCAGTCGGTTAAGCGTCCCAACTCTTGGTTTTGGCTCAGGTCCTGATCTCAGATCCTGGGATTGAGCCCTGAGTTGGGCTCCGCGCCCTGCAGGGAGTTGGCTTGGGGATTCTCTCCCTCTACCCCTCACCTGTACGCTTGTGTGGGTACACGTCCGTGCGCGCTCTCTCTCTCTCTCTCTCAAATAAATAAAAAAAATACTAAAAAATTTCTCAGCCAAGCTTGAGCTTTTGCTTTATGTATATTTATATATGCAATATAATATGTATGTTATATATAAATGTGTGATATATGTGTATGTATTATATATATTCATATGTATATATAATTGTTATAAAAAATTTACGCATTTCCCTATTCCATTGCCTTAATCAGTAGTGGGTAGGTGGATTTGGAACTGAGTACCAGTGACTTTTTGGTCTACTAATTGTTTTCTCTATTCATAGTGTTTTGGATTTGTATTAGTTCAGCCTTACTGGCAGCTAGTAATTTGAGTTGTATCTCCATATGTGATGTGAACAGTTGATCTATCTTGTATGATGTGTAAAGTTTCCCCATACTTAAATATCTAACTACTTTCCTGTCCTCCCAACCTGAACATTTGGTAAGAAGCATTATCTTTACCTTTGGAATGAAGGGGTTAACTCTAAAAACTTTTAGCTTTAAGATTTCTGTGACTCTTTGTTTAATACATACACAACTCATTCCTGATACATAGGTTTTCAGTGCTTTGCACATGAAAATGGTTTTGAACACTAGGGGCCCCATTTGTTTTTATCCCCTAGCAGTTGGTTTTATAGTCACGTGGCTCTAATGTCATGGTGAATTTTAAATATGCATAATTTAACTATTAACAAAATAAATTTTTTTTATGTAGGTATTCTGATATCCAGGCATCTTATTTAGTAGAAGGGAAGTTTTCAGTTCCATCTGAATCATCTCCCAGTAGCCAGAGTGAAGCTGACCCAAGAGAGAAGTTACAGCTTAGCTTCCAGGATGATGAGTAAGTTCATACCTTCATTTTGTTTTTGCCATATTAAAAGCAGGTCTCACTCAGTCTTGTGGAAAATGAAAGAGTGACTGTGTCTCTGAATAATTCTAAGAATCTTTTTAAAAGAGTTTTCTTTATGTTTTTAATCACAACCATTTTTAGTGCTTTCAGAATACCTTTTCTCATTCCAGAAGTAACATAAGCTCATTTTAAAAAGTAGAAAATACAGAAAAATTACAAGGCAGATAATAAGTCTGTAGTCTTACTAACTAGAGAATAGTCATTGGGGCACCTGGCTGGCTCAGTCTGTAGAGCATGCAACCCTTGATCTCAGGGTTTTAAGGTTGAGCCCCACAGTGGGTGTAAAGATTACTTAGAAATTACTCATAAAAATAATATCTTAAAAAAAAATAAGAGAATAGTCATTGATTATCTATTTATAGTCTTCCAGACTGCTTTTTTTTTTTTTTTTAAAGATTTTATTTATTTATTTGAGAGAGAGAGCAGGGGGAGGGGCAGAGGGACAAGCCGACTCCCTGCTGAGTGCCAAGACTGACATGGGCCTTGATCCCAGGACCCTGAGATCATGACCTGAGCGGGAAGGCAGACACTTAACTGACTGAACCATCTAGGAGCCCCTTCCAGACTGCTATCTATGCACCTGTACATGTACATACTAAGTTTTTTTACAAATATGGGATTGAGCCGTACATACTATTTATAACTTTTAAAAATTAGTGTATTATGCTCATCTTTCAATTATAATTAATATAGATATGTGTCGTGTTAATGACTGCACTACATTAGGCATTTAGATTATTGGAATTTTGCTATTATAAATTTACTGAATTTTATTTATACGTTTGCACACCTAGCAGATTATTGTATTCAGATAAATTCTAGGATTGAAATTGCTGAGTTAATATTTAAAGACTGTTACAAAGCACCACATTGCTCTTTAGAAGATTTGTACCACTTTACACTTCCACTAGAAGATGTACATGAGAATGCCTACTTCTCTGAGCCCTCCCCAGCATTTGGTGGTATTATTTTTAATCCTTGATTTTAGAAGTAAAAAAATTTGTACACATGCATAAATGCATAGAAGAAAATCTGGAAGGCTATAAACCAAAATGTAAATGGTAGTTCTCTCTTGATGGTGGTATTACAGGCATTCTTAAAGTTTTCTGTGTTTGAATTTATAATAGAGTATTTATGGAATTGAGCATACTTTAATGTTTATTCATTACTTATATTTTTGTTGTGAATTGCCTCTTGGTAACATTTGGGTATAAGCACTTTCTATATATTAAAAATGTTAACTCTTTGAATACTCATTCATTCCGTGTGTATTTTTGACCGTGTGCCTCCTGTGTGCCAGGTACTTCTCTAAGTACTTGGGAAATACCAGAACAGACATTAAAACAAAAAGACATTAAAAATATACCAGTTTTAGGGATGCCTGAGTGGCTCAGTCATTAAACATCTGTCTTCAGCTCAGGTCATGATCCCAGGGTCCTGGGATTGAGCCCCGCATCGGGCTCCCTGCTCGGCAGGAAGCCTGCTTCTTTCTCTCCCACTCCCCCTGCTTGTATTCCCTCTCTTGCTGTGTCTCTCTCTGTCAAAAAATAAATAAAGTCTTAAAAAAATACCAGTTTTATAGTATATTTGAAGGGAAAAGTGCTAGGAAAAAAACAACATGATGAGGGTAAATGGGTAAGCTGAAGGGAATGGTCAGTGTGGGTCTCATTGAGGAGGTAGAAGATCTGAGTGAAGACTTGAAGGAGGCCGTTAGCCATGTACATTAGGAGGAAGAGGATTTCAGGTGGAGGCTGCACGAGTGTAAAGGCACTGAGGTTGGAGCATACCTATGTTCAAACAGCAGGAAGGAGGCTGCCATGGGGTGAGCCTGATTTTGAGAGAGGTGGAAGCCATTAGAGGGTTACGTTTTAAAAGTTTCACTCTGGCTACAATGGAGTGAATAGACTGTTGGGAGGCAAGTCTGGAAGTAGGAAGACCCCTTAGGAGGTTGGATTATCAAAGGGGTAAGGTAGATGGAGAAGAGAAGAGCACCAGGGCCTCATGTCGGGACACTTCAGTGTTAAGTTGGGGAGAGGAGGAATAGGCATGGAGACTAAGGTTTAGTGGCTGGAGGTAGGAAGACAACAGTGTCTCAGAAGCCACATAAAGAACATATGTAAAAGAACAGAGAGGGATCCAATTGTGTCAAATAAAATGAGGACTAAGAAGTGACCATTGGAATTAGCGTAGGTTAGGTCGTTGGTAACCCTGACAAGTGGTTTTGGTGGAAGTAGGAGGAGGCACAATAGTGTAGGAGAGTGAGTTTAGGAGAGAATGGGAGGTTAGTTTTGGAGATGGTGAGTTTGCTGCAAAAGGCAACCAAGAAATGGGGCTGTGATACTTGCTGAGTATAGTGGATCAAGAGAAGTTTTTCTTTTTTCCTTTGTGGAGGGATAGGTTGCTGCAAGTTTATGTGGTAATAGGCATGATCTGAAATAGGAAAGTCTGATTATGTAGAAAGAAGAGAATTGCTAGATCAAAACCTTTACAAAAATAAGAGGCCAGGATCTAATGTGTCGTGGAAGGAGTGACTAGAGAGGTAGGACCGTGGATAACTCCTTTGTATTAACCGGTGGGAAGGCAGAATGTGTGGGTACATGTGGTGGTAAGAATCTGTGGAAGTTGTCTTTTCCGTGCTTAGGGTCTCTCAGAGCGGTAGGAGGCATGACATCAACTCAGGGTAGAGGAGCAGTAGAGAGATGTAACAATCATGGGAGTGTGGGAGAGTGAACAGAGAGGGAAATGGTGCCATTGTCCGACAGCATCCGGAGTCCCACTCGAGGGTCATGGTCATGAATTTACTGTGATTGTGATGTTTTCTCCAACCACATTCAGCTGTAGGAGTGCTAGCAAGATGTGAGGGGAGAGTTGGGTTTAACTAGGCTTGTAGTCTGATGAAAGTAGTGAGGGATAAGGAAGTTGAGGGTGTGTTATGTTTGGCCATGGGATTTAGGTTAAGGAAGAGGAGAGGATAGCAGAAGGGTGAGGGAGTGTGAGATGTGGTGATATGAGTGGTTTGGAGGCTTGGGTTGCATCAAAGGATTATAGAGTTGAGGTACTAAGGAAGATGCCATGAGGGGTCGTAGGTGACTCCAGGCTAGAAGGCTTTATTGAGGATGATCTGGAAGTTGTACTGAGGGGACATGCTGATGGAGACACACATTCCATCTCTATGCCCAGTGATTCCAAGGCTGTGGGAGAGACTGATAGTCCTCATTTGCCAGTGTTTAAGGGAGGCGGTATCTTCACAGGACATCCAGGTTTTCCCTAAAGCGGTGAGGTAAAAGGGATGTTCATAGGAAGGGTTCAGAAATGGCAAGATTTTGTTGATCCAGGGTTGGTTTGTTGGGCTGGGTAGGGGGAATGTGCTTGTGGATCTTCAAATGTCAGGAGTAAGGAGTCCTGGGCTTATTGAAGGGCATCATGAAGTTAGTCCCATTGAACTGATGTTGGCAATGAGACATTAGACATGGGGGGAGGGGAGGAGAATATCAGAAGTAACCTCTTGACTCTTTGATGTGGGCCAGAACGTCTGGGAAGTGGTCTTGTCAGTCCTGTTAATGGAAGACAGACAACCTGGTAAGGCGTAGTCCTAGATGCAGTGTACTGGCCTCACTCTAGACTTTCATTGGGTAGCGGTGAGTGCTTTGGGGCTATTCCTTGCCTCCATTGAGTAGTCTGAAGATCTGGGTTGTTAGTCTGAGAGCCTGGACTTCCTATGGCTGCTTGTCATGGTGGGTGCACAGCCTGCAGAGGCATGCTCTTATCCCCATGTGGAGGACGGCTTCTGTGGCTCCTGGGGGAGGGTGGAATTTATGTTTTGAAAATATCCTTATTCTAACTTCGGAATTAATGAATATTTTAGCAGAGGATAGGATTTAAAGATAAAAATAACTTTCACAAAATTTTGAAGGCATTGCTACATAGTGTGAGAAGCCTGATGTCATTTTGATACTTGACCATTTGTATCTGAACTTTTTTCTCTCTGGCAACTCTTAGAATCCTCCGAGTCCTTGGTGGGTGCTCCCCCCCACTCCCAACTGAATTCTAATTGGCATCAATCCAGAGATTTGTGTGCTTTAGTTCTAGATAATTATTATTACTTCAGTAATTTTCTGTTTTTCTTTCTTTCTGGGACTATGTTTTGGATTGCCTGGGTTGATCTATTTCCACTATTTTTTTTTCCTTTTCCTTTTTTGTTTTTGTTTTTCTTTTGTTTCAGTGCAAATAGACAATGTTCTAGATAAAGTTCCTAATTTTTTCCCTACCCTTCTATTAAATCATTTGGCAGTCATAATTTTGAGAGCTCTTTTTTCTGGTCTTTCATTTTTTTATAATGGTTCCTTTTTGTGGATATAATAGCTACTTCAATGTTTTCTGAGAATTTTAATGGAGATTTTTCAAAGTTCTATAAATTATCCTTGTCTCTGGGGTTGTTTACTTTGTTCATCTTTATTTTTATCTCTCAAGCTGTTCCTTCTCCTGCATCTGATTTATGGCTGTCTTCTAGGTTGCTAGTGTGGGCTAGTAGGTATCCAGATCTCATTTCTGTTAGCTCTTCATGTGAGTTGGGCAGTACTCACGGCCAGCTTCACTTTACAGGTTCCATGCCGGGTGTTTAACACTGCTGTCACCACCATAACTTCATTGTGCACAGGCGTTTCATATGCCTTTTCTGGAGAAGAGCCTTCCTAGGTGTGCAGCGTCATGTTGACACTGCTGTTTTGTTTGCGTGGGTTGCGGAGAGGGAGTGGAGCACTGCCCAGCGAGGGCAGCTGATAGACTTTCAGTCATCCCCTCCCTTTGGACTCCCTCTGGACTCCCTCCTGCCCTCCTTCCTAGTCAGGAAGCATTTCTGCAGTTATTCCTGGCAGATTTGTTTTCTGCTTCCAGGCCCTTTTGTTCTTGTCTGGACCATGCTTTCGTTTTTCCTGCATACCCTGTCTGCTTTTCAGATTCTAGAATCTGAGGTAAGCTTGGGCTAGGACTGGTGGCTCTCATCCAGATTGCTTCACTTTTATAGATGTCCTTATTGTCATTTTCATGCAGTTCGAGAAGTTACGCTTGCCACTTTTACTTGAAGTTTATTTAACTTAATATTTGACTTAGTTTGAAGAATTTTGACGGGCTAAACAAGTGATAGCTATAGTTTTGAGGAAGTGGATTTAGGGGAAGGTGGTTAATTTAATTGGCTCTTTTATCATAAAGTTCTAATGGTTACACTACAGTTGACCCTTAAACTGCATGGGTCCACTTACATGCAGATTTGTTTCAGTAAATACATAGTACTGTAAATGTATTTTCTCTTCCTTGTGATTTTCTTTCTTTTTTTTTTTTAGATTTTATTTATTTATTTGAGAGAGAGAATGAGATAGAGCATGAGACGGGGGAGGGTCAGAGGGAGAAGCAGACTCCCTGCTGAGCAGGGAGCCCGATGCGGAACTCGATCCCGGGACTCCAGGATCGTGACCTGAGCTGAAGGCAGTCGCTTAACCAACTGAGCCACCCAGGCGCCCTTCCTTGTGATTTTCTTAATAACATTTTCTTTCCTCTAGCTTTATTATAAGAATACAGTATATAGTACATATACAAAGTGTGTGTTAATTGACTGTGTATGTTATTTGTAAGGCTTCCAGTCAACAGTAGTTCAATTAAGTAAAGTTTTTGGGGAGTCAGAAGTTAGACATAGATTTTCAATTATGCAGGAGGTCAGTGCCCCTAACCCCCATCTTGTTCAAGGGTAAAGTGCACATGTTCTTCTTGGAGTGGGGGGCTTTGAAATATGAACCTAAATGTCATGATTTCTTTTTTATTTATTTCATGTCACCATTTTGCCTCCCCACCACCTTTTTTTTTTTTTTTAATGTGTCACCTAGGGACCTTTACTGTCTTTCTTTTCTCTTTCATTTTCTCATTTATTTGAAATATAATTGACATATAACATTAGTTTCAGTTGTGCAGTGTAATGATTTGATATTTGTATATATTGTGAAATGATCACCACAATAAATCTAGTTAATATCTGTCACCTTACATAGTTACAGAATTTTTTTTTCTTGTGATGAGAACTTTTAAGATTTACTCTCTTAGCAACTTTCAAATATGTAATACAGTGTTATTACGTGTAGCCACCATGCTATACATTATATCCCCATGACTTACTTATTTTATATCTGGAAGTTTGTACCTTTTGACCCCCTTCCCCCTTTTCTCCTGCCCCTGATCCCCTACCTCTGGGAACCATTAATCTTTTCTCTGTATCTATGAGCTTAGTTTTTTTGTTCTTATTTTTAGATTCTGCATATGAATGAGATTATGTGGTATTTGTCTCTCTGTCTTACCGTAATGCCCTTAAAGTCCATCCATGTTATTGCAAATGACAAGATTTCCTTCTTTTTTATGGCTGAGTAATATCCCATTGTGTTATATATATACAAAATTTTTTTTATTCATCTTTCAGACACTAAGGTTGCTTCCATCTTGGCTATTGTAAATAATGCTGCAGTGAACATGGGGGTGCCATATATCTTTTTGAGTTAGGGCTTTAGTTTTCTTTGGATAAATACCCTGACGTGGGATTGCTGGATCATATGGTAGTTCTATTTTTAATTTTTGAAGAACCTCCTTACTATTTTCCATAGTGACTGCATCAATTTACATTCCCAGTTCACATCCCAGCACTGCACATCCTCACCAACACTTGTTATTTCTTGTCTTTTTTTTAATTAATTTTATTTTTTTAAAGATTTTATATATTTGTCAGAGAGAGTGTGTGCACACAAGCAGGGGGAGCGGCAGGCAGAGGGAAGAGTAGACTTCCCGCCGAGCAGGGAGCCCAATGCAGGGCTTGATCCCAGGACCCTGGGATCATGACCTGAGCCTAACGCAGGCGCTTCACTGACTGAGCCACCCAAGCATCCCTCTTCTCTTTTTTATAGTAGTTATCATAACAGGTGTTAGGTGATGTCTCGTTGTGGTTCTGATTTGCCTTTCCCTGATGATTAGTGACATTAAACATCTTTTCATGTACCTATTGATCATCTGTATGTCATTGGAAGAATATTCATATTGCCCATTTTTTAATCATACTGTTTGCTTGTTTGCTTTTTGTTTTTGTTTTTGCTCTTGAGGTGTAGGAGTTCTTTGTGTATTTTGGATATTAACCCTTTATCAGATATGATTTGCAGATATTTTCTCCCATCTGTAGACTGCCTTTTCATTTTGTCAGTTACCTTTGTTGTGCACACCCCCCACTCCTCTTTTCTCTCTCTTCTGTCATACAACTTTGTATCCACTTACAGTCTACCCTACAGTCTGTATCCACCTACCTCTACCCTCTCTTTTACTTTGCTTCTGTTTGGGATGAAACTTTCCTATATCTACCTATAAATGCACCTTTGGATTGAGCTGATGGTAAACAGCTTTCTATGTATTACAGCCCCAATACAGAGATGGAGAAACTGGGAGGTAAATTAAGAGTTGGGAGTTGCCTCAGGCACAGAGGGTTAGCACTTGGAATATATGGAAGGATTATCTTCTTTTCATCCATCCTGGTCAGATTTAAATCTATCCCTAGATATCAGTTTGCCAGATGATGAATTTAATTGTGTTTAGAGGCCTTTTTCTAAAAAGTTCACCCCTCTCTTGCTGGCAGAAGGCTGTGGTGAGTTGCATCAGACCCAGGAGCTTTTGCAGAAGATTGGGAGGAAAATGGCCTTTAAGGAAAAACATTGTCATACATATATAAAACAACAGAGCTACAAAGATGGGGACAAGGCCAATGGCAGGGGCTAAAAGTAAAACTTTCAAAGCATTTCATAATTCAGAGAATCAGCTTTTTGGCAAATATACTAGTATCCTTTAAGTCTGTTTTGTTTTTAGAAAGCTGAGATTTTCTCCACATATGATAGATTCAGAGATACTTATTTGGAAAAGAAAAAAACCGTCATTTTATCACTTAAGAGGCAGAATAGCAATATGATACTGTATTTGATTTTGGAAGACTGTGTATCTCTGGACCCAAAATGATGTGCAGTCCCCAGGGTACCTACGGTGGAGCCAATTACAGTTTCTGGCTGGTCCTAGAAATTTTTCTTTTCACTGTATCCATTTTTTTTTTCTTTTTGGGAGATTAAATACATAACTGATTAATGAATATTTAATGATTTACCCAGGTAACTAACATTTAGTCATTATTCTGTTCCCACATGAAAAGTTCTATCTCTAAGAAAAAGAATATAGAAAGTCAGCATTTGTCAGTTGCTGTTCTTGAAGAGTCTACTTTGCAAAGTGATATGGCAAGAACAGAAGAGAAGCAAGCTAAAACTGCAAAACCCTTTCAGAGCCAAGATCCTGTTGATAGGATTTCACCACTGGAACAAATGCAAGGTACTGAACTTTCAGAAATTACTTTCTAATGTATATATTTCAGTTTCCTTTCTTGTTTATCTATCTTTGGTATTTATCTTAAGCTACAATACGGTAAACTGAAATCACTTATGGTTTGGCATTTACCTATTAATATT